TCTGTTCTGAAGTCTGGAAAGTCCAACATCAAGGTTCTAGGCAGGGTTTGATCTCTGGTGAAGGCTTTCTTCTTAGCTTGCAAACAGCCACTTTTGTCCCCATGTGGCCTTTTCTCTGAGTGTGCATCTTTCTCTTCCTCTTTCTATAAGGACATCAGTCCTATTGGATTAGAGTCCCATCCTATGTCCTTCTAATGACACCATCTTCCTAATTACTTTCTAATGATACTATCTCCAAATATAGTTAAATTGATGGTTAGGGCTTCAAGATATGAATTTTAGGGGGACACAATTCAGTCCATAGCTGGCACTAAGAAAGATGAATAAAGATTAATAGAATTTAAGAACTAATGTTCAGCCCATGTGTAGCGGCATGACTATGAATGAAGAAGGTACCTATTCATTTTCTTATTGAGAAGTTGAAATTAGAATCCCAAATTCAACTAAACATTTTTTAAAGCAACATGTTACTGCTGAAATGAAAGAAAATAAATTACATATGAAGAGGAAAATGCACCATCCAGACCCTCCTTCAAGAAAGGACTTGTTGCTGAGCCTCTGGGTGTACCATCTGAAGACAGACTTTGGGGGTCAGCTCCTGCAAGAACTGCTTTAGCTGTAGAGAGCCCCTCTCCCAAGGCTACATTCTTCTTAGGACAGTGGTATCCAAAGACAGATTGAGGCAAGAGTATTACAAGATTGTTATTTCAACACAGTATGTGATAGCTCTCAGGAGCCATTTTAACTGGAGTTCCTATTGTGGTTGGCTGAACCCATCATTGGGCCTACAACCCTACCACTTCACCCTCCATTCTGAGGTTGTTAATCCCATGGTACACTTTAATAAACATCCTGCACACTATCCCTCATCTCAACCTGTAATAGGTTAGCATCCAATTTCATATTATTTAAAAACATTATAAAAGATAGCAAAAGAATGATATTGCCTTTAAGTATACTGACAACTAATCCTACATCCAGATTCATTTGACCCATCACTGTTTCCAAGAATTTTTATTTTCTTAGGGTACAAATATGTGTGTATAATTTTTATAAAAATTGTTTACCTGTTTTTTGACTAAATCATAGTTTTTATCCATGTCAACACATAGTTTTATAATACACAGACAGTTTCAACATTCTTTTTACCCCATTTTTTTACCCTAATTGAGGTAAAATTGACAAATAAATATTGGATATATTCAAGGTGTACAAAATGATGTTTTGATATGCATATACATGGTGTAATGATTACCACACCAGCTAATTTACATATCCATCACCTCACATAGTTACCTGTGTGTGTGATCTATTCTATTAGCACATTTTGAGCATAAAATATATCACTATTAACTATAGTCATCATGCTGTAAACTAGGTATCCAGAATTTATTCATCTTAGAACTGCAAGTTTGTACTTTCACTAAAATCTCCTGTTCCCCTCCTCACTCCATCCAGCTACCCCTGGTAACTACTCTTCTACTTTCTGTTTCTATAAGTTTGACTTTTTTAGATTCCACATACAAGTGAGATCATACAGCACCTGTCTTCCTGTATCTAGCTCATTTCACTTAGCATAGTATTCTCCAGGCTCATCCATGTTGTCACAAATGAATTTACTTTGTTTTTAAGGCTGAATACTGTTCGTGTGTGTGTGTGTGAGTGTGTGTGTGTGTGTGTGTGTGTGTGCATATACATATATTTGCATACACATGCCTACATATATACACACCACATTTTCCTTATTCATTTGCTTATAAATATTCAGGCTATTTCCATATCTTGGCTATTGGTGAACAATGCAGCAGTGAACATGTGAGTGCAGCTATTTTCTAAATGTTTTTTTTATTTCAATAGCTTTTGGGGAGCCAGTGGTTTTTGGTTACATGAATAAGTTATTTAGTGGTGATTTCTGAGATTTTGGTGTACTCGTCACCTGATCAGTAAACACTGTGCCCAATATGTAGTCTTAATATTCACCATCCACTTTCCACTTTTCCCCCCAAGCTCCCCAAAGTCTGTTCTATCACTCTCATGCCTTTGCATCCTTGTATATTAGCTTCCACTTATAAGTGAGAACATACAATATTTGATTTTCCATTCGTAAGTTACTTCACTTAGAATAATGGCCTCCCGTTCCATGTCAGTTGCTGCAAAGGCCATTATTTAGTTCAATTTTTTGGCTAAGTAGTATTCCATGGTGCATATATACCACATTTTCTTTAACCACTCGTTGGTTGATGGGCACTTAGGTTGGTTCCAGATTTTCGCAATTGTGAATTATGCTGCTATAAACATGCGTGTGTCTGAGTTTTTTTTCACATAATGGCTTCTTTTCCTTTGGGTAGCTATTTTGTTGAGATAGTGATTTTATTTCCTTTGGTAGATATTTTGTTGAGATAGTCATTTTATTTCCTTTGGATATATACCCAGAAGTGAGATTGTTGGATCATATGGTATTTCTATTTTTAATTTTTTTGAAGAACCTTTCTACTGAAATAATGTACTGACTTTAGTTGCATGTCTCTTTAGTCTTTCGTATATTTTAATTTATTCCTCTGCCCTTTTAGGAGGGTGGAGGATGCTTTCATGACATTACAATTTTTAAAGACCAGTTTTTCTCTAGAATGTTTTTCTTCAATTTAGCTTTTCTTCAATTTAGATTTGGCTGATTGTCTCTTCATAACTAGTTAATATTACATATATGATGTTACAGCATTCAAAGTATACCGTATCAAGAGCCATGGATTATGTCAGTTTGCCCCATTGATAATGTTAGTGTTCACTAGATATTTCCATTTTAGAGGCCCCTTTTCAAGGAGGAAATGTTGACAAAGACTTATATAGGTTAAAACTTCTCCTTTCCCATTGAAATTCTTTCTTTATTTTTGCACATCAGCTTATTTCCCAAAACCATACTAACCCACATCCCATGACAAATGACAGGAACAGTATCAAAACATCTTAGGAAAGCAAACTTGAAAATGTGACATTCATTCTCAACTTGGAAATGTTTGTCTTTAAAACATTTCCAACTAGTAATCTTATCTTCTTATTGTGTCCTTTTGTCATTTTATGCAATACAGTGTCTTTCCAAAATTACTTGGAGAATTTAGCTCAAGAATCTGAACTCTCATGACCTCTTTTCACCTAAGATAATGCTTCTATCTCTGTGTGTCCTCTTTAATATTTAGTAAAACTAAAGCAGATCAGATGAACATCAATATTACATAAGTTCTGTATAACAGATGAGGAAAAGTGAAGGTAAACCCAAAAAGATAAGAAGCAAATATAATGCAGATTAGCACCAGATGGGCCCTCCAAAGTTAGAAAAATGAAGGATGTTAGAGAGTACATTGATAAGGGAAATGAAAAAGAGAGAGAAGCACAAATGAAAGCAAACCAACTCCAAGTTTCTGCGAACAGCTCATCCCAAATCCAGTAGCATATTTCTCATTTAATATTTGAATCAGGCAATTTAGTTTGAAATTCTGGCTCTATTTTTTCATCACTGTTTAATCCCTGGTAAGTTACCTAATTAGTCTCCCTAAGCCCCATTTCCTCATCCAGTAAATGAGACTAATAACACCTATGTGGCGTAATCATTGTAAGGATTAGTAATATTGGGTACTCAATTCCTAACTTTCCATAGGTAACAAATGGTATCATTATAACTCTTACTATGAACCTTTTTATAGTGCTTTGCAGTATATAGACAATATTCCTATCAGACATTATTTGATTCAATTACTGCAAAAAACATTTACGAATAAGAAATGGAGGGTCAGTAAGATTAGCAAAATTAGTAACTTTACAAGTTGCCTGTTGACAAAATATTTGGTTCTGGGAACCAAAACCGAAGTCTATTGACTTTTAACTAGTAATAATTTCACTATACCATGGTAGATTAAGAGTGCAGCTATAGTGCCAGCTTCCTGCTAGAAAAAGAATAATTATTCTTAAGTCTCTAAAGTAGATGAAGAACTGAGGTTGCATAGTTTATGTAATGCTAATATTAATTAAAGGGAAAATGTATACTCCAAAGAAAAGAAATCACTAAATGGAATTGCAAGAAACAATATTTCTTAGAAACAAAATGACTATCTCAACATTTCCTCATAGAAGACATCATTCTCAAATATATGTCTGAAGTCTACACCATTGATCTTTTGTCTTTTTTAAGAGCTACAACAAAATAGATTTTATAAACCTGATTATTAGATATTCTAGCACTATTTGGCATGACTTTTTTGTTATAGAATTAATTGTTCTTTCTAGTTGGCTTGGTGGACACTTCTTTATACTCAGAATATTAATTAATTATGTAAATGATCAATTATACAACTATTTTAATATATAGACTATCTGCTGGTCTGTGCCTATAAGAAATGACTTGTGTCTATGTGATGTTTAATCTATTGAAATATGTGAATAAATGCATATATAAATAAATCACATAAATAGTAATTGAGTTCTACTTTATGCCTTATACTGTGATTGGCAGCAGATTAACAACAACAACAACATAGTAGTTGCCCTCAAAGAGATTACAGTTTGTTGGAAGAAAAACATCAATAGATACAATATATTATGTAATGTATACCAATGAAGTTTAATAAAGTCTAGTTTGTGACATAGGTCACAAACATAACAAAAACACATATTGTAGGACTCCAGAGACTGCATTAGGGTCCTGTTTCTTTTTCTGAAAGTAGCTGAGGGGAGACAGTGAGGATTAGGCACCTTCAGAACCGCTCTCTAGCTCTGTGGATCAACTACCATGCTGAGTAATGGACCTCTGGGTACTCCCCTGACTGTGGTCTTGTTCCGTGGAGTTGGTTTCCTGTATAGTCAGCAGAAATGATTTCTAATCCAATTCAAGTCCCCTTTGTTCTTAGTCAAGGGGCTTTTGAAAGAGTTGTCTCAAAGTATGTGCCATGGCCTTATAGGGTAAACTGATATATAAATAGTATTTTTAAACCAAGTTTTTGCTCCTCATTAGGTGGCTTTTCTACAATATAAAGATGGAAATGGGATGAAGGTGTTCATTGCAAATTAGGGTAATGTTAAGAGGCCATAAAAATGTGTTCTGATATTTGGACAAAGGCAGTCCCTTTTATGTAACTTTTGGTCTCTGATCATTGCTTTTTTAAGCCATCATAATCACAGGATTCCTATATCACAGTTATTTATGGTTTATAAAGTATTTTCATGCATTACTTTTTATAATATGTCAGTGTGAAATAAAATGAATATTCTGTTCTCCTTTGACAAATGGAGAAACTGAGACATCACAAATTTATTTAGTTTAATATCACATAGTGGATAAAGGCTGAACTGCATGTAAAACCCTATTATTCAGATTCTAAAATCCTTGCTCTTTTGACTCCAACACACCAGTTTTATGCTGTGCCATCCCAGGTATTATGGTGCCTTGTTCTCTGCTCTCCTTTTCTTCTTCTACTCTCCTCTCCTTTTCTCTATTTCTTTTCTTCCTGTCTCTTTTTTTTTCTCACTATATTCTCCATTTCCCATTCTTTGTCTTTCCTTTCCTTTCAAGCCTACGAGGGGCAGGAGTCTGGCAACCAAGGCAACAAAGAACCCCTTCCATGAAAAGAGAGTAAGGAAAAGAAACATGGGCTTTTACATATTAACAGTTCTTGCAAACAATACCCAATTTCCAGTGTTATTTTCTGTCTGCCTCTGCCCATTTTTGCGTGAGTCCAAAACAAGGCCAACTAGGAACATCCATGTATAAAGCATAACAAAAATAATGTGTCACATATGTGACACAGATGATACAAGAGTGACTTTATTGCTGGTGCATTTATAACTACAGTCTAAGAAGTATAAATGGGAAGTGGGAGATGGAACAGAAAAGTCATCTTAAGCACGTATTTCCATTCCTCTTTTCTAAACGGAGGTAATACACCTTCTATTTCCATTGCCTTTTTGTTTCTGCCTCTTTAAAACATATGTTGAGATTTGTATTTAAAACTATTTTTGGAAATAACTGGAGCATGCACTTACTTGAGTAACATGCAGAACATCCAGTTCCCAACTCTCCAGAGTTCTAGAATGGCCCCTTTTGGAGTTTATAACTTATCTACCCATCTGTGCATTTGGTCCCCAGAGACGAGCGCAAAGCCAACAAAGATGAAAGTCTTTGGGAGTCTGTGCTTTTGAATATTAAACCACTGGATCCAGAGTCAGAAAAATTCTCCATTCCAGATTTATGATCTGCCTTTAGTATTTTGTGACCTAGGTCAAAAAAAAAAAAGCCACTTAATTTCTCTACAATTTCCTTACCTGCAAAATGAAGAGACTGGGCTAGAACAAAATCCTATGATTTTAAGATATTGTAGGAATAGCTTCTATTTCCAATGCTCCAAAACGTTTAAAAAATGCAGTAAGCCACTTGGGTAGATGGAATCACTTTCCAGTTTATTTTTCATTGATGTTTACAATAACATTATAATAGAACAGATGTTTTTGAGGATTAATGAGTGATAGATATAAATTGCCATAATAATATTGCTTTACTGTTTTCATCTTGGTTCATTAACTGTCATTAAAGATACCATGTGACTTGTATTTTGCATGTGCTGTGATGTAATCATCTAGTAGCTGTATTCCTTCCCCACGAAAGAATCCCCAAGCCTACCATTTGAATCATTGGAGGTGTGAAATTCATTTCCAGATCATCTCTTTAGGAGATCACAAGGTCATTGGTTCTCATCAAGAATATGGATGAGGAAAACAAGATACTAGAATAGAGCAAGAAAGAGAGAAGCCAATTCCCACCGCTCCCTGAAGTTTAAATCGTTCCCCTGTGGTTTCAACCTCAGTTCTGTTCTGCTTTTAATTTAAAACCATTCTCTACCAGGCAACTGATTTTTGCTAGTCTCTTGGGTGATTTTCTAAGACAGATTTCACTGTATTCTACCCTTCTGTGTGCACTTAGCTCCCATTAGCAGTAATGGGTGTTATGCATGTATAACTCCCATTAACAATAATGGAAATTATGCATGTGCATCCAGAGGAAAGGTTGCTCCCCAATGTTGGAATTTTTTCAGAAGTAAAAATACTCCTTATGCAGCATTTGGCTTTTGTTTTAGGTTCTTTATTGTGGTGACGATTTGTGCTGCAGAGAATGAACATGATGTAAAAGACTGCCAGCTTCCCGGTGTGCAATCTGTACAGTATTTTAAAAAATCTTGGCTTATAATTTTTTGCGTGACTAAAACAACAGTCAGGCAAAACTTGTTAAAGAGGTAAAATAGATCCAGATCAGTTAATAAAGGATCATGAATGGGGGCTAAATAAATCCCTTATAGTTAGGAATTCTGGTAGGTAATGTCACCTGTTTCAAGATAACAAAGAATAGATTTGCACAGATGGAAAAAATAATTCTTTAAAAATAATGGAGTGATATTTATATAGACCATAATAACATTCCTCCAGATGAATGCATCTTAACCCGAAGAGATAATTTCTCTCATGATCCGTTGATAAAAAATGATAGGCCAAAGGTGGAATTATAAGGGGCTGTGAATCATTGGCATATTAATTTTAGAACAAATCATGCCAAAATGAATCTTTAATATGAAGTCAAGAATATGATTCATCTTCAATGTTATGAGTGATAGAATACATTTAGTACTTGAAATGTTTTTGAATTGTCAAAGTGAGGGTCTAAGTATTTATCTCTTCTGAGAGTGCCTTTTGTAGGATAAACTAGTCTGTGTCTAGTCTTGGACACCCCCTGAATAAAATCAGATTCTGTGTAAAGGTTGGGTTTTGAGAGTAAGAGTGAGGCACATAAAAAGCCCTGGAGTGTTTAAGAGTGCAAGCTTTGGGGAGCGATCCACCTGCATTTAAATGCTGACCCTGTCACCTGGAAATTTATTTTACTTATCTGAGCCCATGTTACCACATTTGTAAAATGAGGATAATAATTCTCATCTTGTAGCTGTGAGGATTAAATAAGATCTATAATTGCATTAGCAGAATTATTAACAATTATTAATCTATTTAGGGAAATAAAATTGATAGTAATAGAAGTCAAAACATTTCTCTGGCCATATCATGTGGACCAGCATCAAATTATCTCAAATCTGTTGTGTAATTTAAATACAATCTATCTTTTATTATTTAACAATAAACATGCCTGTCATAACCTGTACTTCTAGTTTTAGGGGAAGAATAAACATAACAATATTCTCAGGAAAAGAATCCCAAATACACAGGTTGATATCTACTTTATTTGTCATACTAACCAAACTTAAATCATTATAAAGTTTAGATTTTTACGAAAACATACAGCTACATGAGGGAGATACATTTTTCTGAAAATTATGAGAACTCATATTTTCTTTTTCTTGTTTCCTTAGCATTGTTATATTAAATGTGCAAGAAATTTATAAGTAATGAACTTTTTTGCAAAGCTTATACATACATTCTTACCATTTCTGTCTTGATAATGCAACATCATGTAAACATATAGTTCTTACCCATTAATTTTATGAGCTAGTCACTTAGCATATTCCTTTGGAAGGAGAAAGAGACTATCTGTGTGACCATGGACATACCTAATTAATCTCCATACACCTTAATTCTTCATCTGCAAAATGAAAAGAGTAATGTTAACTTCATCAGGTTGTTTTCAGAGTAAATATATTAACATATAACATATGGGGTGCTAACAAGTTGATTCTCTGAGGAAGGTCTTGAGAAAGGAGGGAGCAGCCTTAAGAAGGAACCACAGTTGTAGTCTGTGGGAAGCCAGCACTGCAAAGACGTACTTTGCTCCTGGAGAAATATTGGGGTGGGAAACCTAAGTGATCATGAGAATAAGGAAGGTTCTGTCAGGTGATAAATAATATGTATTTTGCTGATTGCTCAGATTTTCCCAGGGACAGAGATATGGATTGGCTTTATGTCCCCATCCAAATCTCATCTCCAATTGTAATTCCCACATGCCAAGGGAGGGACCTGGTGGGAGGTGATTGGATCACAGAGGTGTCTTCCCCCATGCTGTTTTCATGATAGTGAGGCAGTGCTCATGAGATCTGATGGTTTAAAAGTGTGTGGCAGTTCTCCACTCCTCTCTATCCTGCCACTGTGAAGAGTCAATTAAACCTTCTTTCTTTTTAAATTATCCAGTTCAGGTAGTATCTTTATAGTAATGTGAGAACAGACTAATACAGACAGCATAGCCAGCTGTAATTAGTCCATGCCTTGGTTCTTTTCAGAGAGATTTGCCCTAATGCTAAAAGGTGAAGCTCGTTTCCAAAAGATCTTCTCTTCTTTGTCCTAGGATAGATGTTGAATTACAATTTTATCATGGCCAATGACTACATTAAACAATTACCCCTTTAATCCCTGATTTTTGGAAAGATTCATTTTTTAAAACAGAAAAATTACATTTATTAAGTAATGATTAGGTTCCTCATTTTTGTGGCAAGTTTATCTGTCAATCAGGATTTAGAATTATGTCTAGATAGAGTTTCCACAGGGTTGATATAATTTGTGTTAATTTTTAAAAAATGAATTATCTAGTTTTCTTTTACTAAATGATTAATTTAGATTTTATTATTTATTTATTTTTGAAACACTGAACATAGCTTGTGGACCCTTGGGCTGGTTACTATTGCTTATTTATCATTGCGTGTAAAATCTGTGCATGCTGATTTGCTCATGTTGGGATAGAGCCATTGATTACTAGTGAACACTACCCCAAACACTCTCTTTACTTTCTTTTTCTTTTATAGACCTTATTACCACCTGCACCTATATGTTTTGCTTTTGTTTGTTGTCTGTCATGTTTTGTTGTTGTCTCCATGAGGGCAGTGATTTTGTCTATTCTTACTGCTGTATCTCTGTGACTTAGATCATTGCCTGGCATACAGTAGGTCCTCAATACCTGCTTGTTGAATGAAGTAGTCAATCATTGCTTCTTTTCAATAGTTAACATTCTCCTGTATAGATGCAATGCAGAAAATAGGAGGTTTCTGTGTGGTTCTATCTGCAAGACAGGCAGCATGGTACTGCGTACCAA